TAGTATATAGACACAAGTTTTTTTTTAATATTATGTAAATATTATCATTAAAATATTTTTATAAAAATAATAGCATACATTTTTTTATGTTGAATAACGCGATATATTCATTTATATTGTATACTCGAATATCAGAAATTAGAAAAATATTTGTATTGCATATACAATTTGCAATTCTTATTTCTTTGAAAAATAACTAATAATTAATTGTTACTTAGATGAAAAATGGTACAACAAGAAGAATATATCCGCCCTGAGCTCAAAAGCCTTTCATGATTTATTGGCTGATATTCATCAAAATTGGATAATATGGAATCATAATCCGAAAGAATCATATGTGCTTCAAGAACCAGATGTGGAAGATCCGTCGATGGGACAGTCAACTGCGATACGCGAAATTTTAAACGATAAGGTAAAATAATTATTACAATTTCGTGAGAAATGCAAGAAAAATGTTTTTCACAAGAATAAACGAATGAATACACGACAATTACGCTTGATTGATTTATGTTATTAATAAATATCAAATTTCATTTATTGGTCTCTACAGAAAAATGGATTTTTCATAGAATGTGGCGCATACGATGGGGAAATACGTAGCAACACATTGTTTCTGGAGCGGTTTAGAGGATGGTCAGGTCTTTTGATAGAAGCTGATCCTATTAATTTCACGAAGATGTTGCAAAAGAATAGAAAGGCCTATCTCTCGCCAACGTGTCTTAGCATTACTAAGAATCCTACGGTGGTAAGAAATCAATGATTTGTCATTAATATTGATTTTGAAACAGTGCTGTCGCGAAACTCGAGCACCAATTTTGATTCGGCATTTAGACGTTATATGAATTCCAAAAAATTTGATGAATCTGATGAAATTGCAGGCATCCTTTCTCATGGCCAGGAATGTGGGTCGTCTACATGAACCCGAGAACAGGACGGAGGATATGCCCGTAAATACGCTCGACGTGGCTTACACGGGCAAGCACGTCCGCGTGCAATGCTTTCCATTAACACATTATATCGCCGCGTTGGAAATCAAAACGATCGATTATTTCAGCCTCGACATAGAAGGCAATGAGATCGACGTATTAGAAACAATACCATTTAACGAGGTGGACATAAAGGTATGGCACTCATTCTGAGTCTATGCGTTCGTTTCTGATGTTAGTGACATATTTTCTTGGAAGTGA